TTATTTTATTTGAAAATACTTACGGGAACATCTGGATCAAGACTTTTACCGCCGATGGGAGCCCTCATCTGGAAATTTTTCGGGAAGACGTTTTTACCAAACTTGGATTCGCTATCACTCTTCCATGAGATGCCTTTCTTATTCACGGAGAGTTTTTGTTTGTTTCTTGTGAAGTCATAAGTATCATTGAACAAACTCCAAGCAACAAGACCACAAGGAACAATAGGTTCGCCACGTACATTATCCTCGGGCGCACATGATTTCACATCCCGTTCATCTTTTGGACTTCTCAATTGTCCATCCTGTCGACTTTTCACATATCTACAATTTGCAAAATCAACAAAACTTAATTAATATTGTCTCAAACTATTTTAAGGTCAATATCATTATCAAACATATATGTTATGGGTCAATACATTTAGTTATAGACCTGCTATATATACATATTCAAAATTTTCCTATGATAGCAAACAACTTTACTTGGAATCTTGTTCGAATGTACGAGTTGCATATGTTCAAAGACGTCCTACTAAATTCCAAAGTCACAAACACAAGAGAGAATACAACTATAGTGAGATGTTACCGTCGATGGTTTTGGTAATAGTTCTCAAGCTGGTAATATACATAGACAGGATTCTTCATAGTTTTTGTCACCTATCAAAATGAAAAGGCTTGTAAAAGAAAGCTGATTAAGAAGAATTATATCACAATTAAGAACTAAAGATGATTATGATTGAGATCTACCGTTATTGTTCTGTTGCACCTCTTATCTTCTAAGCTCTGAATGTATCTGACTTTGTTGTCTCTAGCTGATAATGGAATACAGTCTGTGTCATATCGATCAACAATTTCGATGACCTTCATGTCATAAACAATAAAATCATATTCACAATAAGAAAACAAATATTGTGGCTGGACAGTGAGAACAGACATGAAAGTTAAAAAAACTTACACCCTGAGAAGCAAATAGGCAAATCACTCCAAGAGGAATAAAGGCAACCCCGGAGATAAGAAATGTCAGAATCACCTACAAAATAAGATAAGGAAAAAAAACCTTAAAACTTTAGAATATATTGAAAATTGTACCCCATAAGAATGTTACATTACATGAGTTATTGAAGCTTTACCCATTTTGGAGTAAGAATTGGTTTGCATGCTGGAAGTTCCTGTTGTGTAAATCTTGAATCTAATTTGAAGAAAATTTGGCTAACAAAATTAGGTCGATCGTTTAATAAGATTCTAAGAAACTTCTCTTAAGAAGAGAGAAATTATGATCAGAAGGTATCACACATTTTGATTTGTTAGGAGATATATGCATCAATCCAACAACACAAAATGGGTTTAAATGGGTTAGAACTAGGCTATCTCTTGTCACATTTTCACATGAAATAGATAATTAGAGATACCAAACTAATAAGAAAATACAAGCACCCATTTGTGTGTGTTACTAGATTAATATCAGTAATCTGAAATTTTCCCTATCTGATATATCTGTAGGCAATGTAAATTTAAAGTCATTCTCATCGATTGATGCTTCATTATGTATGAATCACATTGTTCAGAAAAACGATGATCAATGTAGGCAACAAAATCTCAATCAAAGAATCTGAGTTTCTGACATTTTTTAATATGCGCATATAAATTCCTAAAGAGATAAAAAAAACATAGAAGGATTTGATCAATTCAAGGTGAAATTTTAAAAAAACGCATAAATAGGTATGATCTCAATTCCCAAGGTACACATTTATCAAATCTGCAACAACAGAAAAATCTTGAAATAACTGCAAAAAAGAAATTAATCTTTAAAAAATTGGGGGAATATGATCACATTTTGGACGCTTTGAGGTGTTTTTGGCAGCCGAAGAGTCAGAGGATCCCCCGACTAAGGCAATTGAGGACGTCGCAGAGGAACTCATTGACATTACGAAGATATTCACCAGAAGAAAAAACTATTTCGTTAATCCCATAAAATACTACATTTCAAGGAAATTCAAGTTGTAGCTTCGGTTTCTTTTTAAAAAAATTCTTTGGTTCAGATTTGA